GGGGGGGGGGGGGGGTTCCACGTCTGTCAGCAGCCATAATGACCAACTATCAGGAGTTGGGGTTGCGGTGCTGATAGGGGATCAGAAGAGAATCAAATCAAACCAGTGACAAATTATCCCATGGGTAAATTAACCAGAGTTTACCGTATGGTATAAAGTAGTTAGTTTCTATCTATACCATATTAAATTTGCATACCACACTCACCTGTGTTGCTCCCCAGCCAAAGGACTGGAATGCATGTGTGCTCCAGCTCCCAGGCTAGTTTTCTACCAGTAAGAATTTTGGATAAATTCTTACAAGTAAAAATGAGCATCTTTATGCAGCCACTTAAATGCATCATGCATATGAGCAATAACAGTAAATTTCCTAGAACCTACATCAGAGAGGAAAGCAAAGATAAATAACTAAAAATCAGAATTCAGGATAGCAGGGAATATGTGTTGACCAACATGTTACAACTGTTGAATATTCCATGTTGTGGCATCTGACAGACGTCACACTTAAGATGTGATTAACTGTTTAATCATGTCTTAAGTAGTGACCTAGCCATACATTTAATTAATGGCAAGATAAAACAAGGAATAAGCCACAAAGTTATTACACAAAATGTAACAACTTTGTGCCTGGTTTCCATCACATATTTACGTGGGCCAGTGCCCACCCTCTGGAGCATGTGGGAGCCTTTCAAGGCTCCCATGTGATCCAGAGGCTGGGAGTGCCTCTCAGCTGATCAGGACTTCCCAGTGCCACAGAGCACCATGCAGTCCTACAGTTGGCAGCCCTGGTCAGTTAATCAGGGCTCCCAGCTGGGGGAGCACAGGGAGACAAGCTTGCTACTTACCAGTGCACCACCAGTATGGAGCAACGGGATCTAATGCAGGATCCCACAATCTTGCTTTCCTGCATGTCGCATAAGTGGCATTGCAGGAAGTGTGATTGTTGGGGTCTTGCATCATAACACATAATCAGAGATGAAGGACTGGAAGGGACCTCCAGAAATCATCCAGTCCAACCTTCAACCTGAAACAGGATCATTCCTACCCAAACCATCCTATACAATCCATAGTCTAAACTAGTGGTCTCCAACCTTTTTGGGTAGATCAGTTTTTGAATTAAGAAGCAACCCCAAGATCTACCTGCATCCACCCACCCCACAGGTCAGTGTGTGGGGAGGGAAGGGGGAGCAGACTGAGGCGGAGGAAGAAAGAAGTATTTGGGGGCATGCCCCCCAACACGTAAATCTGTGGGGGAAGGGGTGGGGGAGGCAGACTGAGACCCCGGCGGTGAGGGAAGGAGTGGGCCACAGGCAGGAGGTGGGGTGGGCTGGGGCAGCACCAGGCTCTTCCTTGCTTAACTCTTGTCAGGCTGAGGAAGCATCTGCAGTTGGTGTGTGCTTCCTCAACGGCAGATGCTTCCTCAGCCTGATGGAAGGTTTTTAAACCTGAAAGCTTGCTAAGATAAAATCTTCCAACTATTTAGTTGGTCTAATAAAAGATACCAGATTTACCCAAAAAAGCATGTCTGCCTACAACACTGCTACAACCTACACCCCTACAACTTCCCTAGGCAGTCTATTCCCCTGTGTCACTATTCTAATAGTGAAGAACTTTTTCCTGATATCCAATCAAAATGTACTTTGCTGCAACTTCAAGCCACTTGTCCATGTCCTAATCTCTGCAGCAAGAGAAAAAAGGTGCTTTCCCCCCGCTTTATGGCAATCTGTCAAGTATCTGAAGACTGCTATCATGTCCCCTCTTAAGCACCTTTCCTGCAAGCTGCACATGCCTAGCTCCTTCAGCCTCTCCTCACATACCTTGATTTCCAAGTCCTTGATCATCTTTGTTGCCCACCTCTGGACCCTCTCTAACTTCTCCACATCCTTTTTAAAATGTGGAGTCTAGAACCACACACAGTACTCCAGGTAAAGTCTAAGCAGTATAGGAGGCACTATTAACTCCCATGTCTTACACCTAATGCTTATAGAAGCATTGATTGCAGTCCAAAACCACATTAATCTTTTGTGTGGTTGCATCACACTGCAGACTCATAGTGAGTCTGTGGTCTACCAAGACTCCCAAATCCTTTTCTACTGTGCTGCCATTCAGCCAGGTGTCACCCATTTTATATTTGTGTTTTTGACTATTTTTCTCAAGGTGTAGCACCTTGCATTTGTCCTCATTGAACTTCATCCTGTTAGCTCTAGCCCAGCTTTCCAATCTGTCAAGATCCTTCTGAACCGCACTCAAATCCTCCAACATGTTCGCAATCCTTCCCACTTCCATGTAGTCTGCAAACTTGCTAAGAAGTTTTCTATGCCAGCACCCAAGTCATTAATAAGCATGCTGAACAGCACTAGGCCCAGGGGAGTTCCACACAAAACCATCAACCATTCAGATATGGACCCATCATTTTACTTTGCTTTTTGCTGTTGAGCTAATTCTCTATCCACTTTATACTAGTTTGTCCAGCCCGTGTTTTTCCAACTTGTTTATGAGAAGGTTGTGTGGGACCTTGTTAAAAGCCTTGAAGCTCAAATACACTACATCCACAACAGTCCCATCATGCACCCAAGTAGTTACTTTGAGAACGAAATCAAGTTTGTTTAACATTTGTTTTTCATAAATCCATGTTGGCTGTTTGTGATCAGTCTTTCCTCCTCCAGATGCTTGCAAATGGCTTTCCTTAGAATATATTCCAGTAACTTCCCAGGTACTAAGGTGAGCCTAACTGGTCTGTAGTGCCCCAGGGCCTCCTTTTTTGTCTTTAAAAGGGGCACTATGTTGGCCCTTTTCTAGTCCTCTGGTACCTCACCCATCTCCCCTGACTTCATGAAGATCCTTGCCAAGGGCTCCAAGATCTCCTTTGCCAGTTCCTTCAGACCCTGGTAATAAAGTTCATCAGGTTCTGCTGACTTGAATTCATTCAGTCATCAAAAGCCAAGTGTCTCTCATTATCTCCTCCCTCAGCTTCCCACCTTCCTTAGCCAAGTAATCCTTACTGATGTCTGGCTGCAGCCTTTTTTGTTGTTGTGAAGACTGAGGGAAGGTAGCTGTTGAGTATCTCTGCCTTCTTTGCATCATTGTCAGGAGTTTCCCCCTGGCTTGTTAACACAGGACCCACAGGTTCCTTGGTCCTTTTCTGGACAACATACTTATCAAATCTCTTCTTGATGTCCTTAACCTCCCTCACCAGGTGCAGGTTGTTCCTTATCTTTGCCTCCCTTTGTCCCTCCAGATTCTACCTATTTCCTTAATGACCTGCAGATTCTTCCATTGCTTGCATGTTTTCCTTTACATCTGAGGCATTTTAGAAGCTACTTGGGAGGCCACATTGGTCTCTTGCCATTCTTCTTTTAATTTCCATTGTGTTGGGACAGCTTCTTGGGCTTCCAATACTGTGCCCTTTAGAAGCTCCCAACCCTCCTGTGTGCCTTCATCCTTCATTCCGTCTTCTCATGGGATAATACCTAATAACCCCTCGAGTCAGATGAAATCTGCCTTTTTGAAATCTAGCATCATAACATTACTGACCTCATGCTTTCCCTGTCTCAGGACCTGGAATTTTGTTATATTGTGATTCCCTCTTCCCAAGTCATCCATCACCTTCACACCCTGCACCAGTTCTTCCCTGTTGGTCAGGACAAGATCCAAGATGGATGGTCTCCTACTTGTATCCTCCACCTTCTGGAACAGAAAGTTGTCCCCCACACAAGTTAGGAACCAGTCTGACAATTTGTTTGGCTGCGTTATTCTTCCAGCAGGTGTCTGGAAAACTGAAGTCTCCAATCAATACCATCGCATAGCTTTTGGAAAGATTTGCCATTTCTTTGAAGAATGCCTCATCCACATCCTCTTCCTGATTTGGTGGCCTAGAATAAAATCCCCACCCTTATGTCAGTGGTGCATCTTTCACCTTTCATCTTCATCCAGTGTATTCTGCTTTGCTGTCTTCTTCCTCCTGAACCAAATCCCATTGTGCCTTTACTTTAAGTTCTCTCAGGCACGGGTCTATGAAGCACACATGAATTTCTTATTGTAGAAGCAGGCACTACTTAGGTGCCTGAAACATTTGAAGTAACATCATAGAGTTGCAACCACAGCATAATCATGCCTTCCTTACCTGCCTTCTTCATTCCTTGAGATACCCCCTCAGTTCCTCTCTTTGTGGTTTCCTTCCTCTCATATAGTGTTGTAACGCTTCTGTCCATTTAACGTGTTGTGATGTTACCGCTCTGACAACAATAAAAATGGTTCTTCTGTTCCCTTTTCTCATCTCCCTTACTAAACAGATCCTAATGACTGTTCCTTTCTCCTCCACATAGCACTCTAAATGAATTTTTGCTCTATGCACTGTTGCTCAAGCTTGGCTCTGCCTGTGTTAAACTATTTATAGGATCCACATTGTTACAATTCAGCTGCATGATGTAAAGGATACACAAGTCTTTGCAACTTAAATATGAAATGCTCTGAAATCTACAGGAAAAAGCCTTAAATAGTTCACATGCCTGCTGTAGGAATGAACCTGAAAATTCCACACGAGAACATAACGGCAATATGAACAAGGAAAACTGAAACTTAATGACAACAGTAAGAATATTTCACTGGAGTACAAAAGTCTTAGGCAAGAAAGAAAAGTGAAGTCTAAACTTTCATTAGATCTATAGAGGTACACAGTTCTCAGAGTATGAGATTGTTCTTTGAAATAAAATAAGAATACAAGAGTAAAACCAGTAAGGCATACCAGCTTTTAGCTTCTCACTCAAAGAATAAACCATAACTTTGGTTCTATCTACCACTGCCTCCATGAAGGACTAAATATCTTAAAACTACAATTGGCAAATGTCAGTAAACCCAACTGAAGGTGCTCAATTTCAGTTTTATTCAGGCTTCCAGTCTAACAGATGTATGGGCCGCTGACACCCTTTCTTTGGAACTACAAACTTTCTCTTTTCAGAAAATCAACTTTGTACTATCCAACACTAATCCCAGAACAGAGGATGACAGTCATTCCTTGTTTTATACCTACATTAATTTTAGCCTGGAGTCTAGAATTCCTGCTATATTTCAGGCAAAGATAAACAGACAATGACTGGGAAGGATGGAAAAGCCTAGCATTATTTATGAATGTTAAAAAAGCAAAAGCCAAAAATGAATAAAAAGGCATAATAATTAATGGATAATTTTGGCAGTTACCAGTTTCAGCCTTCATTCCAGTGACTTTAGGACCTAGAAAAATCAAGGTTTTGTTTTAATGAATATCCTAATAATTAAAATCACCCACATAGTGTATGTTCTTCAACTGCTCTTCAAACAGTATCATGATAAAATTGTACTTTGGGCAGCGTTCCAAGAAGAGCATGATAAAAAACAGGTGCCAAAAAAAAATTCCACATGCTTTGCAAAAGATAGCAATGAACAGATCACCCATTGATATTTAAGTGCTTTGGAACCCTAAGACAGAATTCATGTTCACTATTTCTTAAGAGTGGACACTGACAACAGAAATGGATCCAGAACATGGCCTACCTTTCCGTTTCTCTCAAGGCAAAATCCGTATTGAAAAGTTATCTATACTTGCTTGGTAACTGGAGTTAGAGATAACTTGTGCGCACACATTCCACTTATGGTACACAAGTGCCCATACACTTCAGATGAGAGTTGTGTGGCCATCACTTTTCATTCCAGTTGTGCCAGCACTCCAAGTGTCCCAATACCCAATACCAAGAAAGTAATAGTGGAGTAAGCCAATCACTTCCTTCTCCATCTCAGAATCCAAAGGATAGACGTAAACAGGAACATGAACATGAAACAATGCAGTGTGAAGAATTCCATTTACCATACAGATAAGTTAGTTACTTTCTCCTTTGAGTAACTGTCCATAAATTTTTCCTTCGTAACAAAAACTTATGTTGTCTGATCTCCAGCCAAAAAGTTCAAGTCAAGATAGATTCACCTTTTATCCTCTCGGCTATAGCTACAAATAGTCTTGCTATACTTTACCAGGCTTCCATAAGCAGAATGCTGAAACCCTCCTAACATTTCAAGTATAAAGTTTAATTTCTTCTTTTGAAAAGCATGGATTTAGGAAAAATATAGGTTGACGAATCTGCTGGTTCAGGTGAAAATTTCCTAGAATTTTAGGCAAAAAAAGTGCTTTCGCTGGAAAACTTTAAAATGAGTCTGTTATTAGAGGCTAGATTTCACCCATTCTTCACACCAGTGTAACTGTGTTTAGACATACCATGCTCATGGAAGATTCAATAAGCACATTGCCATAAGTTTCAAATGTGAGGCAGATAAAGTTAAAACTCTCAGGGGGAGTGAAGCTATTATTCCATCAGCATTAACTGTGCACCAAATACCCCAGAGCTTTGGGTTTATCAAAAAATATTAAGTGCAAACTTATAATTGCATTAACATTTACCTGGATTCTTCTAATGGATGTTGGACAGTAAGTAGTCGAGGGTGTCGAAGCCTTGTTAGCTGTTGGACTCCTCGTCTTAAAGAATCAATAATCTGATCCTTTTCAAATTTCTGATACTTGTCTATTAACTTTTTATCAAAGACAAATACAGCAACTTCCTAAAAATAAGGAACAAAATTATTTTATTATTAGCAATTAATGCTAATAAAACATTTAAACAAAATATGGTTCAGCAAAGCAACATGTAATTCATTATACATTCACTAGCAAACTGCCTGTCAAGAATGACCAAGGGGTGGAGGAGGGGGACAGCAGGCAGGGATGTAGCCCCATGTCCAGCCCTGCACTTCCCCTCCCCCCACTGTCCGGCCCTGTTCCACACTGCCCCCCCACACCCCATCTGGGTCTGGCCCTGCCCCCCATAGGAGTGAGAACATTTGCAGGGGGGGAGCTGAGTATGTGTGAGCATGCCTCTTTACCCACCCCCCACGAGGGAAAGTCTGTGGGGGGAAAGGAAAGGGCTGGTGGGGGGCAGAGGAGAATGGGGCTGGGACTAGGCAGGGATTAGGAGGAAGCGGAGCAGAGCTGAACCAAGGCTCAGGCCCTGCTGTGCCCACCCCTTCCCCCGCACCCGGGGTCGTTGCCTGGCTCCGGCAGCACTTGTGAAACTGCTGTCCCCCAGCCCTACACCAGCCTCAGCTGCTTTCCTGCACTGTCCCCAGCCCTGCACCCCCCAGCGGGGGAGAGGAGGGGTGGGCAGACCAAGGGTCCAGAGCAGGGCCAACAGTGGCTGCATTGCTAAGCTGGAGGGGACAGAGCTCCTGGGACACCTGTGCCTGCCCCACCCTGTGTTGTCCCCAGGAAGAGCCTGGTGGTTCCTTCAGACGTGCGGTGCCAGCGAGTCTGCGGGGGGGGCACAAGGCGCCCCAAACTTTGCACGGAGCAAGGGCAGGCTGCAGCTGTGGGAATGGTGTGATGTGCCTCAGTGCCCAACTTGCCCCGTGGCGGGACACACATGGAGCTGCGCCACTTTCAAAGCAGCAGCAGCCTGCCCTTGCCCTGTGCAAAGATTGGGGGGCCATATGACCCCCCTTGGCTCCCCAGCAATGCACCTCTGGAGGAGCTCCTGGGCTCTGCCGGGCCCTTCCTAGGGATGACCCGGGGTAGGGCAGGTGCGGAGGTCCCAGGAGCTCCGTGCCCTCCAGTGCAACTGAGACCGGCCCTGTTCCGGCCCCTCCTGGGTGGTACAGAGCTGGAGCCAGCACCAGGTAATGATCCCGGGCACAGCGGAAGTGGCTGCACTGGCTGTGCCAGTTTATCCTTGCCCCTCTGCCTCCAAGGAGCAGGGCGGGGGGCAGGCTGACCCCCTGCTCCAGCCCCTCAGTCCCTGCTGTCATAGCAGTACTCCATCATGTGCGTCTCTCTGTGCAGAGCACTCCAATTGGTTGTTTCAGTCAGCATTGTGATTGGCTGCCAAGACAACCAATCAGAGAGTGAATAAAGTGTTACAGACAGACAGCCAGCCAGAGGCTTTTATTATATTAGAATAGCCAGATGCTTATGGTGCTTTGATGGGATGAGCATTTTGCATTTTTTTCACCAGAATAATTTAGGAAATGGGAAAAAGTTTTTTCACTAAACACTACTTTCCACAGTGCTTTATCTTACTTATTTATTTATTTTACAAATTACTTTTCAGAGGAGAAAATGTTAAACTGCATGGCTGCACTCATCTGGACGTGACCAAAGCGACCATTTTTACTTTGGGAAAAAAAGCCTGAACGTATGTACACTTGTGGTTTTTTCCTGGGAAGGCAGTGATTCTCCCACGAGAAACTGAATATTTATAGGAGGCCCTCTACTGTTGTGATGTACTCCAAAATGAAGAAAGAGATGCAGGACTTGAAAGCTCAAGTAAATATCTCCCCTCAGCAGTGTCAAATACATAAAGCACTTTTACTGAATTTTGTCTGCTCCTTTCATTGATGCAGATATATCTATATAACACCACAAAAATAAGACAAGTCTTTGTATTTGTTAAAAATATTGGTTTGTATCCAAAATAATCCATCTCAGCTCAAGAACAAGGCAGACAAATAACATTTAGCATAACTATGAGCACAAGTGCTGTTTTCAATCATAGGTAAATTTAGCAAGACAGCTTGATACAAATAGCACACGTTAACAGCAATTGGAACAACATATATAAACCAAAATATAATTTGTAATACATTAAAATTAATGATAAAAAACCCTTTTAATGAAATTAACTTTATGACTCAAAACTGGTTCATTCTCTAATTAAATACTGTCATAAGGACCTGAATGATGCACAGTCATTCTGCAAAATGGAGAACTTCAATATAAAGGGCTGCAGTGGGTATATCTTAGCTTATCTGAGTTTCTGAGACTATAGCTCAAGCAATATTTCCTTTACTTAAAATGGGGAATACCAACAGAAATGGTAATACAGTACTATGGAAACAAAAATGGAAATAATTAAGAGATCCAAAACAGGTGAGACCCCCAACTGAAATGGGTAGAGCTTTGGATATCCCCTGAATGACTACTGTGACCATCCTGGAAGATAAGGCAAGAATTCAGGAACATGTTATGGGCTCAGGTCCTATGCAATAAACTATGACAACTAAGCAGCGTGTTGGACTTATTGCTCAGGTTGAGAAACGGTTAATCATTTGGCTGGAGGATCAAAATAAACGCTGTGCTCCTGTGAGTTTAGGCATAATTCAGGAAAAGGCTAGGAGTCTTTACGATGATCTAAAACATGAACAAGGGGAAGAGCTCTAATGCTGAGCCCTTAAATGCAAGTAGGGGGTGGTTTATGAGTTTTAAAGCCAGGGCCAATTTGCATAACATCAAGGTCTCAGGTGAAACTGCCAGTGCTGATAAAGAGGCAGCTTGTGCTTTTTCTTAGACATTGCCTGAAATCATTGAAGAGGGTGGGTATTGTGCTCAGCAAGTTTTTAATGTTGATGAAACTGGAATCTATTGGAAAAATGCTGTCAAGAACCTACATTTATCAAAGAGGAGAAATCCATGCCAAAGTACAAAGCTGCTAAAGATAGGCATGCTCTTTTGCTTGGTGCCAATGCTGCAGGTGACTTAACTTAAACCTTTACTTGTATACCATTAGGAAAACGCCAGAGCTTTCACGGGATATTCCAAGTTATTTCTTCCAGCAATATGGAAATCCAATCCTAAAGTGTGGGTCAATAACAACATTTTTGAGGATTGGTTTAATCATCATTTTCTGCCAAGTGTCAAGGATTACTGCAGCAAAAACAATCTTGCATTTAAAGCATTGCTAATCCTTGACAATGCTCCTGGTCATCCAACCATCCTTGATGACATGCATCCTGACATCGAAGTGATGTTTCTGCCCCCAACACCACCTCATTGTTGCAACCCATGGACCAAGGGATAACTGCATCCTTCAAGGCCTACTATCTTAGGCACACATTTGCCCAGGCCGTCAGGGCAATTGAGAGGGAAGGCCGACCAACCAATTCTGAAAGAATTCTGGAAGGGCTTCAACACTTACCATGCAGTTAAGAATATTGGTGAGCCATGGAGTGAAGTCAAACAATCAAATTTGAATGGTGTTTGGAGAAAATTGTGTCCTAAGTTTGTGTCTGACTTCCAAGGCTTTACAGACACTGTTGAAGAGGTGACCAAAAATACTGCCGAAATGGGCAAAGAACTCAACTTAGACATTGTACCAAAAGACATTGATAAGTCGCTGGCATCACATTCTGAAGAATTAACCAATGAGGACTTCACTGAATTGGAACATCAAGAAGTGGCAGAGGAAGAAAATGCACCCACTGTTGGGAGACTCCTCCTCGTAAAGTTTTGACAAGTGTTGTTTGAGGCATTTCAACATTTGGAAGCTGACGTCCATGTTTGAGGGACATGACCCCGACACTGAACACAGTGCATCAGTGAACAGGGCCATATCCAACATGTACAGCTGCTACAGAGAAATTTACAAGCAAAAGAAGAGAACATCTGTCCAAATTTCCTTGGATGCTTTCTTTAAGAAAGCAGACAAGACTCCAGAAAAACCTACAGCTACAACTCCTGAGAGGATTCCAGCCAAGTACCCTTCAAGAAGTCCAACCAAGAGCTCTTCAAAAAGTCCAGCAAAGTTGCCTCAAAGTAGTCCTTCCAAATAAGTATGACTGCTATTTACAATATAAATACATAAATAAAATAAATAAATGCAGCTACATTACTTGTCTAAAATTGGTTGAGTACTGTACATAATTTTGGGTTATTTTTGACGCAAATAGGATATGGGGCCTTGGTTCAGGAACCAATCCCCCATTTATAACATTGTTTCCTATGGAGGGGGGGTGGGGAGAGGTGGAAATCAGTTCTGAGTTGCAATGTTTTGACTTAAGACAGTTTTCAGGAACTAATTGTGTTGTAAGTGTGAGGACTGCCGGTAAATTTTTTCTAAGAAGAACTTAGAAAAAGCAACATTTAAGCACCTTTGTTAAATTTTTAGTTGTTGCGAGAGCTATAAAACAAAAACAACTGATCTTTCCAACCAATACTACAAGAGAGATGGATGGGAGGAAGCGATGAAGTGGTATAAGTAACTTCTGAGGGGTTTAGATACTTAAATGATGGGCCTGGAATAAAACTAGGTTAGACTGACAGATTAGAAGCTATTAAAAATGGATAATCAGGTTGAGTTTTTGGAACGCCATAAAAAAGTAGAAAAGAAAATAATGAAGAAACTGAAAATGCTAGAAGATAACCATTTTTTAATCAAACAACCTTAGAAGAATAGGCAAATCAAAGGAATTCAGTGTGTGAGAAAGAGAAAGAGTCACCGTGCTCCAAAGCACAAGGGCTAAACAAAGGCTCAGCGACCCCAGGTCCACAGCTCCAAAGAACCTGGCAGAAATCTCCCTTACCCAGGTGTTTCTGGAGGGGAGGGGCAGAGAACTCCCACACTGGTATAAGGAAGAGCCCAGGACAGGAAAGGGGGGGAGCATAGAACCCGAAGGAGGAGGAGCGAGCCGACACGCTGCATGGAACTCTGAGAGCGACGTGGAGAGCTGGTAGGAGACTTTTGCAGAGAGTAAGCCCCACAGAGGGGACTTAGAGCAAAGACTACTGACTGGGC